CCTCCCACCATGCAGGATAAAGTTTAGCTTGTCCATTGCCCAAATCAATGATTCATCTCGTGCATTCTTCAAGTGAACGGCGTGAAAAGACGTCGGCATTATTGTATATCGTATATTTTTATTTTTCTTAAGTTTTCTTATTATTAGAAGACGTGTCACCCACGCATCGATATGCTGTTTTACAAAAAAAGACATATATTAGTGACTTACATAAATTTAAAAAAAAAATTAATCAAATTGAAATATAAGAAAAATATAAGACTTACCCCCCCATCGAAATAGCCATTGTCTTCGACCCCTAATAATACGCCCCACCAAGGCCGTTCAAGCAACAAAAAGATATCATCGGTGAGCTTGCATATGTCAGTGAAACACCCCTTGCTCCGCTCATGTAGATAAAAATCAACTGCGGTCTTAGCCCAAAGGGTGTTATCCAAAATTGTGTCCGGTAGTTGTTCCCTCTCCTCTTCAGATACCGGTATGGTACTGGCCGGTAACTCATACGAGAGCCAACTCTCATCCATCATGTCCGGAACCGGTGGGGGTTTCTCAATACTTCGATATATTACCCCATGTGAATCGGGCTCTGGAATGGTGGGAGGGACCTCTTCAACGATGACAGTTGCCTCTTGAACGGTGGGAGGGGACTCTCGAGGAATGATATGGGGGGCCTCTTCAACGATAGGAGTGGACTCTTGAGGGATGACAGGCGAGTCGGGCTTCTTCTTGCGGTGTCTTCGCACTATTGGGGTGTACGGAGACTTAATAGCACGTGCACGCTGTCTGATGCGTGAACTCCGTCGTGCAAGCATAACCCGACGTAAAGCATCCACTCTATCGGGCCGCTAAACGCGAAATAGTTTCAATTTTGGTTGAAGTAATGCAATCCATTCAAGTTTCAATTTGCAGAAGAAGAAATAGTTTACTTTCGCAACACGAAACTTAAAATCGCAACGCGAAACCAAAATCGCAACGCGAAATGAAAATCGCAACGACAGAATCGCAATGCGAAATGAAAATCGCAACGAAAGAATCGCAACGCGAAATGAAAATCGCAATGCGATTTTGGTTTCGCGTTGCGATCTTGTCGTTGCGATTTTGGTTTCGCGTTGCGATTCTGTCGTTGCGATTTTCATTTCGCGTTGCGATTTTGGTTTCGCGTTGCGATTTTAAGTTTCGTGTTGCGAAAGTAAACTATTTCTTCTTCTGCAAATTGAAACTTGAATGGATAAATTTACTTTCAACCAAAAGACAAAACAAAGACAAATACTATTTCACAGTGTTAAAGAATACACAGTTTAGCAGAATTGGCAGCAACCGAACAAATTTACTTTCAACCAAAAGACAAAACAAAGACAAATACTATTTCACAGTGTTAAAGAATACACAGTTTAGCAGAATTGGCAGCAACCGAACAAATTTACTTTCAACCAAAAGACAAAACAAAGACAAATATATTTCACAGTGTTAAGAATACACAGTTTAGCAGAATTGGCAGCAACCGAACAAATTTACTTTCAACCAAAAGACAAAACAAAGACAAATACTATTTCACAGTGTTAAAGAATACACAGTTTAGCAGAATTGGCAGCAACCGAACAATTTACTAAGCAATCTAAGTGAAATGGCTAATCTAAGTGAAATTACGAGTAAATTTATCATTAAGTTAAATATGGAAAATCTTAAACTTACCTCGTTGCGTAGAGTATGAACCTCATTCTGCAACGATACTATCATCTCACGTAGAGCGGCAACCTCACCACGTAAAGTTGACACCTCCACACGCCATGCACCATCGTTATCGCGTAGAGTACCGATCTCCTCACGCAAGGCATTGACCTCATCACGTAACTCCCTTGACTCATCCCGTTGAGGTGGAGGTGGAGAACAGGGAGATAGGAGTCGTGGCATCTTTGCCGGTCGCCTATCATGAGGTGATGGTGGAGAAGAGGCTCGATGATGTGACGGGATAGGTGATGGCTCTCGTTCTAGAGATGTATAGTCGGTCGATCGGGTGATGGCTCTAGGTGAGGTGATGGCTCTCGAATTGGAGGAAGTGGATGCTGCTCATCATCCGTGCCATCAAAAAAATTCTGACTAGCTTGCCACCAATCAGTGGCAAGCTCTTCCTCCGTGGGTGTCAGTCTTTGTAATGGAATGTTGGCCTCCTAAAATATAAAACTCAACAAAGTTAAACGTCTACTATTAATAACTTGTTTATATATTATATGAAAGTATTTGTGTTAACTTACATTATTTATTGTGGCATATGGTATTAAGTCTTCCCAATCCAACAGAGTTTTCCTCTTCCAGGAAATAGCCCTGGGAATATCATTTGACGTTTTTATTGCATATGTACGCATGCTGGGGAAAGCCTCGAATATCCAAATCTACAAACAATATAATAACAAAATTAGTAATTGTTAAATAATTAATTATAATTTTAGAAACATTATATAGAAATTCTTACCTTAAAGGCCCAAACAAAGCCTGACAAAGTGTATTTGGACCCATCGCCCCGCAAACTTTTGCGGTCATCAAAGGCAGACGACAACTTAGTCCAGGTAGCTTTCCATATATACGAACCCCACGGAAACAGATTCCATGCATTCAGGTCCTCTACCAATATTATTAGCTCCCGATGAATAGGTTGTCTGGCCTCTCTGCCTAAAAGCCGGCATACACAAGTAGTAGAAGGCATACTCGGACAACATCGACGTCTTCCATCCGAGTGAAACCAGCTTTCTTATTAATAATTTCTTCAGGTCGTCGACATGTAGGTTCGGCTTCTCCATTGACTCATCCGGAAAAACCCGGGATAACCATGATGGGCGGGCGATATGACGAGTGTACCGGCCTACATCATCGTGTCCGAATCGTAGACCAGTGATTAAGCAGAACTCCTTCCGCCCAAAGCAAGTATACGCTGGTGGAAAATGAACCATATCTCTTCCTCACCACGTTGTATACTGTCGGGTAGATTTGATGTCATGGTCTGAAGCCACAAATGGGTCAAATTAGCATCTCCACCCGGATGCTGTACTCTCAGCCATGGCCCGAAGCAGGTTTCCTCAAACAATTGTCTTTGAGCAGTGAAAGCTTCTTGCAATTGTAGTGGCCAGGCTGACTTTATTTCTCAAGGTCAATTGAGCCGAAAAAAATTTCTACAAAAACAATAAACATACCAGTAGATATACCAAAAACTACACTGTGAAGATATACCAAAAACAATAAACATAAAAAGTAGTAGTTATTCTTTAAACTAAAATTTGCAACACTGTTTTGTCTTTTGGTTGAAATGAAAATCGCAACGAGAGAATCGCAACGCGAGATGACAATCGCAACGAGAGAATCGCAACGCGAAATGAAATCGCAACGAGAGAATCGCAACGCGAAATGAAAATCGCAATGCGATTTTGGTTTCGCGTTGCGATTCTCTCGTTGCGATTTCCATTTCGCGTTGCGATTCTCTCGTTGCGACAGTCATTCTCTCGTTGCGATTTTCATTTATCTCGTTGCGACTCTTCTGCAAATTGAAACTTGAATGGATTGCATTACTTCAACCAAAAGACAGAACAAAGACAAAGACAAATACTAACTTGAAAATCGCAACGAGAGAATAGCAACGCGAAATGAAAATCGCAACGACAGAATCGTAACGCGAAATGAAATCTAAGTGAAATGGTTAATCTATTATTGAAATGACCAGTAAACTTATCATCAGTTTCAATATTCAAAATGAAAAACCTACATTTCTGAATATTGTGAGGGATTTCTGACACATTTCAAAATAAAAATAATTTAAAAAACTAACCCTCGGAGGTTGATTTTCCATTTCTGATATTGTGAGGGATTTCTGACGTGAATGGTTGTGAGGGATTTCGCCGGAGATGGGGACGGAAATCTTCGGAGATGGGGACGGATTTCTTCGCCGTAGAGAGTGAGAGATGGAGATGGGACTGAGTGTGATTTTAGGTTTTAGGTTATGAGTTGCGATTACGGATTTTGTCTTAATATTCTTTTTGTAATTTGAAAATAAAATACGCGTAGCGATTATAATGGCGCTTTAAATATCGCGTTGCGATTTACGGATACGCGTTGCGATTTTATGTATTATCGTTGCGATTTACGGATACGCGTTGCGATATACATACGCATTGCGATTTACCCATACGCGTTGCGATTACGGATACACGTTGCGATTTACGGATACGCGTTGCGATTTATGTTCGCGTTGCGATTTCATATTCGCGTTGCGATTTTGGAAATCGCAATGCGAATTGTACTATCGCATCGCGATTTTCAAGAATCGCGTTGCGATTTTGGAAACTGATTTGCGATTCTGGAAACTGATTTGCGATTCTGGGGATCGCGTTGCGATTTTTATTTCGCGTTGCGATTTTGTTGGTCATTTTGGCAAATCCAAAAAAAGTTGGTTAAAATCGTATATTATAACTTTTTTTTGGTCACTGAGGCGATTTTCTCTATCTATAATCTGCTTCCATCACGTCATTTTAATTTATACTGATGAGTTAAATAGAAATGTGGCAAAAAAAAATATAATTGAGCATATTGCTACACAGAAAAATTCTGATTTTTTGCCTCTTGTCCCAAGATTATTCAACTAATTTGTTCCCTATTTCTAACTCCATGTTGGCTAATTCTGTCAAATGCCATGGCAGATCATTAGAAATGAAGATCTTGAAGAGCTAAGGGAGCTGGGTTCTGGTACATTTGGGACTGTTTACCATGGAAAATGGAGAGGAACAGATGTTGCCATCAAGCGGATAAAAAAATATGTTTCACTGGTCGTTCATCTGAGCAAGAAAGGTTGGTGAGTTTTCCTGTTGTTTATTCGCTTTTTGTGCATCATCAATGGATGTTGATAGTTTTCATACTTCTTCTCATGTCACTAATAACGGTCAACATGAAATATTTTTCAGACTGGGAGTTCTGGCGTGAAGCTGACATCCTTTCAAAGCTTCCCAACCCCAATGAGCTGACCTTTTATGGCGTGGTCAGTGGTGCATGATAGACCTGGAGGAACACTTGCCACTGTCACTGAGTTCATGGTGAATGGCTCTCTTAGACATGTTTTTCTTAGTAAAGAAAGGTAATATTTCTAAATATAGTTTTTCCTAGAATGCCGTCCATCCTTCCAGAGAACTTTTTCCTGTTATATTTTAGTTGCTTTAAGTGTTTTGTACCTGCCTAGGCAATGATCGTCGTAAGCGACTCATTATTGCCATGGATGCAGCATTTGGGATGGAATATTTACATTCAAAGAACATTGTGCATTTTGACTTAAAATGTGACAATCTGCTTGTCAACTTGAGAGACCCCATACAGCCAATTTTTTGCAAGGTAGTTTGCATGATCTGGTCATGTATAAGTTTGTAAATTTTCTAGTGTATGCATCCGGTCCAATTACCCATCTCTTGTTTGGTAGGTTGGGGACTTTGGGTCGTCAAAGATAAAAAGGAATACCTTGGTTACTGGTGGTGTGAATGGCTCTTCCATGGATGGCCCCGGAGCTATTGAATGGCAGTAGTAGTAAGGTTTCGGAAAAGGTATGACATTTTGTTTCATAACTTTGATGAAGTAACTTGTTTAATGTTTAGCTCTTAGTTCATTTCTGGCTTTACACTTACTGGTTCAAGTTGCGGTGTTTGTTTCTTGTCTATAATGAAATGGGATGTTAGGACTTGTTGCCTTTGCACTTTTCCCAGACCTAATACCTTTTCTTGTTAATCTTCAAGAATTTGTTTGTGCATTTTATCTATATAAATGTACATAATAGATCCATGCCTCAAATCTAGGTTTCTTTCGAAAAGTCCATCTCCCGGACACCATAAGCAAGGAGCAAATGGTCTTGATGCAAATATAAGTTACCCAGATTTTATCATTTGCAGGATGATGTGTTCTCATTTTGCATTGTTCTGTGGGAGATTCTTACTGGGAATGAACCTTACGCCAATATATAATAGGTATGAAACCTGGATCGCTGTTTCGTTTTTCTACGACAATGCTTCGAACTCGCGTTTCCATGCACGTCCATGGTGAATTGAATACTTAAACATGGTATGAAGCAAATTAAGAATTGCAGAAAACAAACTAACAGAAACAAGGAAGAGAGGCATTTTCTTTATTGATATAACTTTCGTTTCTTCACCTTTACACTTGACATTTATAGTCAATTATAACAACTCTTAACAAACTAACCACCCTAAACCGTTTCCTAAACAGCTTCCCTATGATGGCTAGCTACATGCATGACCATTTACATGCATGACATGCACGAGTATTCTAGATTATTCTAGCTCACGTGCACACAGCTTATACCTATCTCAACATTCTCTCCACTTCTTTCTTCTCCTCTTCTTTAACAAGATAATACTTGTAATTTGCCACGAAACTGCTCAAATGCAGCCTTGGTGAGAGGTTTGGTTAATCCATCCGCTATTTGAAACTCAGCAGGGACATAATTAACGCGAAGAGCACCAGCTGCAATCTTCTCACGAATGAAATGCACATCGAGTTCAACATGTTTAGACGAGCATGACAAACGGGTTCACACTCAAGGTACAGCACTCGTGTTGTCGCACCAAATGACAGGTGCCTCCTGTAGAGACAACCCAAGGTCACACAGCAACGCCGTAAGCCAGGTCACCTCTGCAGCAGATCAGCAACGCTCCGATATTCAGCCTCATGGTTGATCGAGAGACAGTTTCTGCTTCTTGGAGTTCCATGCAACCAAACACTCTCCAAGGTAGACACAATATCCAGACATGGATCGACGATCACTGGCATCACCAGCCCAGTCAGCGTCAGAAAATGCTTTGACACACAGCCGAGCATCTCCTTTTGAGAACACCAACCCATGATCAAGAGAACCTGCTAGGTAACGTAGAATTCGCTTAACTGCTGCAAGGTGACTCGTTCGCGGAGACTGCATGAACTGAGCTGCTTTGTTAACTGCAAACGCAATATCTGGTCTTGTGTGACAAACATACAGAAGAGCGCCCACAATACTCCTATATTCGCGAGCATTAGACATTAGATCACTCGGTTGACCATCAATCTTCGTGGCCACCATGGGGGTACACACAGATGTGGCTTGACTCATGTTGGTTTTCTTCAGTAATTCACATATGTAGGCACGCTGACTTAACAGCAGTTCAGCACCAACCTTCTTGACCCTCTATTCCCAGAAAATATGAGAGTTCACCAAGGTCCTTAAGTGAGAACCGTAGGCTAAGCAACTGAACGACCTGATCAATAGCTGAACCCAACGTCCCGGTGATGATGATATCATCTACATACACCAAAGCATAAGTACTGCAATCGTCCTGGACTCGAACAAACAGAGAGACATCAGCCTTCGATTCCACAAACCCAAGCTCTAAGAAGCAAGCTTTAAGCTTGTCATTCCAGTTCCGAGGAGCTTGTCGAAGGCCATAGAGGGCCTTCTGCAGCTTACAAACCAGTGGAGTTCCATCTTCAGCACATCTCTCAAATCCAAGTGGTTGATGCATGTATACCACTTCGTTCAAGTCACCATTCAAGAATGCATTATTGACATCCACCTGTCTCAACGCCCAGCCTCTTGCAACTGCCAAGGCGAGAAGAACATAGACTGTGGAGAACTTTACAACAGGGCTGAACGTGTTCGTGAAATCGAACCCTGGAACTTGAGTGAACCCTTTTGCCACCAACCGCGCCTTGTATCTATGCACAGTGCCATCTGGATTTCTTTTAATCTTAAACAACCATTTACAACCGACCACACTTCTATCAGTAGGCAGAGGAACAAGGCTCCATGTGTCATTCTTAATCAACGCAGAATATTCATCTTGCACCGCTTCAGACCACGGGCCAGACTGAAGTGCTTCTTCAATCGTTGCTGGAACAATATCATCAAAAAACGTGGTGTATATTTTTGGTCTAAACACACCACACTTACTTCTAGTCAACATAGGGTGCCTAGTACCAACCACATCATTCGTTCTTTTCATCTGTCGATGGTTGCACTTCCAGGTTGACTTCACCAGCACCAGGTCCGACAGATGTAGCAGTAGACTCATGGACATCACTCGACTGTGCAGAACCGTGCCCAGAAGCATCTGCAGACAAGTCAGCAAGTCCCGACTGTCGAGCAGAAGTAGCACACAGTTTGCTAGCATCAGCTACTATGTCAATGGCTTGGCTCAGCTGCGAACGAACTCCCAACCGTTCAGTAGAACTGTGCTGAGCAAATGGGAAGCACCACTCATCAAATTTCACGTGTCGAGACACTACAACTCGTTTATTAGGTGTGAGACATAAGTAACCCTTGTGTTGAGGACTTGGCCCCAAAAACGTGCACGGTTGCGACCGAAAGTCAAGCTTATGACTGTTGAACGGTCTTAGGTGGGGGAAGCATTGACATCCAAATACTTTAAGCGAGCCATATTCAGGCGTCTTGTTGAACAAACACTCGAAGGGGGACTTTCCAGCTAAAACCCTCGTAGGCAACCTGTTAATTAAGTGAACTGATGTTACCACAGCATAGGACCAATAGCTGATCGGCATGGACGCCTGCGCAAGTAGTACTAAAGCCAGTTCAACCACATGGCGGTGTTTGCGCTCCACGACACCATTCTGCTCTGACGTGTGTGGGCAGGTAACACGATGAGATACACCAGCTTCTGCAAGTACACGCGACAGCCGACGATATTCACCGCCCCAATCGCTTTGTACTGCCAGGACTTTCAACCCAAATTGCGTTGCAACGAACTGCTGAAATAAGAGGAAGGCCTGTGTAGCCTGAGACTTATCCTTAAGCAAATATAGCCACGTGTGTCGAGTGAAAGCATCAACAAAACTGACATAATACCTAAACCCGTTTGAAATAACAGGCGATGGTCCCCAAAGATCAGAAAAAATAAGCTGAAAAGGAAAGTCATACTTAGTAGTTGAATCCGTGAAGGGGAGTTTGTGACTTTTTCCCATTTGACAAGCAATACAACTCTCATTAATCTTTTGTTCACAGTTTACATCAATGAGCTTGCAAATTTGCTCGAGAGTGGCATGAGCAGGGTGCCCAAGACGCCTATGCCACAAGTCATACAAATGATTGGAGGAATCAACTTTATTTGCTACAAAACAAGCACTCTTATTACAACTATCATCAACTTGAAACAGATACAAACCATCATTCTCCTTTCCATGCAGCAATACATCACCAGTAGCTTCATCACGAACACAGTAGCGTGATGCATGGAATTCAAAGTACACCGCGTTATCCTTAGCAAGCTTCGAGACGGATAGAAGATTTTTAGTTACCTTAGGTACATGAAGAAGATCATTTAATTGTAAAGCTCGAGTAGAAGAGCACAAAACAGATTTACCAGTAGCTTGAATTGGCAGTAAACTACCATTACCAACCAGCAATTTACCTGGTCCTGAGAACTCTTTTGAGTTGAAGACCTTGGTTGAATCAGCAGTCACGTGATGCGTAGCTCCAGAGTCTAGCACCCAGTGATCCCTCGTGCTAGAAGCGATATGACTTTGCGGCTGTGACGAGTAAGCGCATTCATCAAGAGTAGACGGTTCCAGGCTGGTGCAGTTCACTGAACCCGAACCACCACGGCTTACAGCTCTCTCAGCCGACCGACCAGTAAATGACTGATCGAACCTGTACCAGCAGTCAACGACAAGATGCCCATTTTTCCCACATAATTGACATTGAACACGAGGTCGACCACGGCCCCGACCTCCAGTCCGACCTCCAGCGCTGGTTCCAGACCTGCCAGAAGCCCGATCATGATACACGTGACTTGCAGTCTTCAAGCTAGAGTCAGACTGAACAACGTGAGCACTCATTGTCAGAAGTTCTTCTTGAGCGTCAAAGCCCGCAAGTTGTGTTTCTGCATCGATCAACATCGAGCAGACCCTATCGAGGGATAAGGCGTCTTTCATAGTGGTGATGAAGGCAATATACGGGTGGTACTCTCGGGGAAGACCTTTGAGAATACTTGCAACCTGTTCGGCCTGAGGAATCGCACTGTCACATGAATCTAAAGCATCGCACACCTCTTTGATGCGAGTGAGGTACATTCGCATGCTGTCACTGCCTTTCTTGAGTGACTGAAGCTTGTAATGCAGGCTGATGACCGCCGTGGTTGACCGGTTCGCGAAGAACTGCAACACCTTGCTCCAGACCGCCGCTGCCGTCTCCGCTCCAACAAACTGGGACAGTAAGTGTGGGCTGATCGTGGACAATAACCAGGAAGCAAGCGCACTATCTTGTGCAACAAACTCCTCATACAACTCATTCACCACCGTATCACCATTCTCAGCCTCAATTGTCTCAGGAGGAGAACGTGCCACGCCTGTTAGTAACCGCTCCAGCCTATGGCTGCGCACAGTCAGCAAGATTTGCTGTTTCCAGAGTAGGAAATTAGCTTCATCGAGAATTATGTTAACTTTTTTGTTTGTGAAGGTCTTTGCAACAGAAGTCTCCATGATCACGAGCTTAGCACAGCAAGCAAGCTGTGGTCTGATTAATTACCTCATGCAGGAGGC